ACCTCGACCAATCCAATTAAACTTTTAGAATCACACACTCCATCGACGGCTTGCAGCACAACTTGTTATTGTTTTTTTTTCAAAGGGATATCACGCTTATAACATTCAGCGTGACCAAGAGTTTCAGGAGGCGAATTACCTAAAGGTGCGTATTCACCAAAAAAGCGAGCACGAGCGAACAAGAGTGAACGAGCATTCTGCATCAATAATCGTCTGGTGAATACGGGCTAGCGAGCGGGCGAATGTATGCTTGTTCGCGATCAGAAAAGATCGAGAAAAAGGCGGTACATCAAAAGGTGCTCGCACAAAGTAGATGGATCAACTACGACTACGAACTTGAAGATATTAACGCTGGTGTGGACGAGACATCAATATGTCGAGCGAACACGAGCAAACATACACGAATGCTCGCTCATGCTCGCTCGTGCTCGCTTTTTTTGGTGAATACGCACCTTTAGGCGAATTGCTTTCTTTCGGACGAATTGTTTTCTGTGGTTGTCACAGCGGCCATATTGCAAAATTGAGCGAACGAAAGAGTTTATCGAACAAAATCGAAGGCTAGCAATAGCAATTCCTCCATTCTAACGTCATTCAGTTGACGCTCATATTGTGCGAGGGAGATATGTACATTTTTTTCGGACGGCGAAAGTAAATTTTTGTGCATTTGTAACGAGTCTCATAAGTATACTATAATTTTCCGTAGATATATATTATTACATGTATTTTTTATGAGATATCTGTGGTTCATATTATCACTATACGTTTTTGTGAATAAATATTGAGTTAGAGTTATTTTCGGGGGTTATGTTTTGAAATGCGTTTTGAGGCTCGTTGTCTCAACTTGACGGGGGCTGGTAGTCACATGTGACAACCAACACGATATATTATGGGGTTAATTAATATCGCAGTCTGAAACTGTTTTGTAAAAAATACACTGTCGAAGAGATAGGCAACACGGTGTTATCAATACCATAAAAAAATTGGTTATCAAAGGTATAGATAAATAGAAGAAAGAATTAATATACAGGGTGTTCCTTAAACACATGCTAATATTTAAGGAGTTAATTCTTAGACCCATTTAAAAGAAAAAACTTCCTATGGACGTATGTCCTAAACGCCTTAACTTTTGAGATACAGGGTGGCAAAGTTTTCAAAAATAATCAGTTTTTTAATAATAACTGAGATAATTTTGTAGACATCTTTGGCATATTTGGTACATATGTTCCATGCCTCAAGGCGCATTTTCTGATGTACAATTTTCTTAATTTTCTCTGCCAGTGGCGAACGTACGAGTTTTGAATGTATATTTTTGGCGAAAAAAATACTACGCCACTGCTTTATCTTGA